TGACGACAGCAGCAGTGGGTTGTAATATTTAACCCTGATTAAAATGCCTTCAAGGCAGTGCTGTCCAAACTTTAGGCTAGAATGTTTAACTAGTATTTGATTAAAATAAAACACAGCTTCTATTTTAAACATGGAAGGAAAACAGTAATATTTCATTTTTTAAGTGCCAGAATACTGGTTGAACAGAAAGCATCTGGCTTCATGCTACTATTTATGGCCTCTGTTTTATTCTGCATGAAAGCAGAAATAAAGAAATCTATTCATCACTTTATGGGAAATAATGAAACGGCTTCATGTTAAAATAATGCTTCATTCAACCCTTAGAATGACAGGCGGCTACTTGTGGTTGTATGAAGGTATAAGAGTTGATGATTATAACCAGAAAAAAACTTCTGAAGGGGAAAAAAAATCCTAACTGTGGTGAACCGCGAGAGGAAAACTGAGAGAGCTCTTCTCCAGGAATTGCTTCAAATCCGGACTCTATTTGGGAATCTTGATTTTAAACATTTGGAGACTTTCGTCAGTCAGGCAAGTTATCTGTGTGGAAACTCTGAGCAGAAACAGCTGCTGAATGATCTCATGGTTCGGTGAACATTGTGATAGTTGTTTCCATCTCTCTTCTTTTAAAAAGTGTGAGAGAACATTTTATTTATCTCATGCAAAGGTGTTTCCTTCATTTTCGAATAACACCTGAGATTTAGCCTCCTATTACTTTAAAACACTTTCATTAGGAAATGGGGGGAAAATGTCACTGTGGATTTGTAATATAGTTTTGGAACAAGAGTCGAATCATCCTAACAAAAATGACCTCTCTGTTTCAGGAAATGAGGGAACAAGGGGAGAAAAGGAAGAGACCCAAAGCTGGACAAGGCGAGGATGAGGACGACACAGAACAGGCCAGCGGAGTGAGGAAGAAAGTCAAAGGAGGATCAGGAGGAGGAGGAAGAGGAAGAGGAGGGAAGAGGGGCGGAGGAGCCTGGAGAGGAGGACGCTGAAGCATCATAAAATGTACAGAACCACAACACAAGACGCCTCTCCTCTTTCTGATGTACACTTTATGACGGCTTGTTTTCCACCCTTCGCTCTGCCGGCTCAACGACTATTTAACAGCACAATAAGTGCTTTCTTTGTCCCACTATGAGTTTTGTTCCATTTCTAATAAAAACTTTTCTGTAAAACTTGTTTCATGCCTGTTGGTGTTTTTTTGGAGTGATTGTCTTAAACCGCGAAGGGGGAAAAAACTGCCTTAAAGTCTTCTGAAAGAAAAATATTGGATTTGATGGTAAATAATTAGCTTACAGATAAAAGCGGATGTTTTTAAAAGGGTGCTATATGGCTTCCGCTCAGGACGGCATCGAACTGAGGGCGGCCTGAGAACTGTCTTCATTAAAACCCTGAATGTTACAACAATCTGACCGATAATACTGGTTTACATTCATATAAGAATGAGGAAGTCAGAGTGACGTAATCGCCATGGTGATAGGGTTCAGTTTATCACTTGTGTGAAAAAGCATGCTCATAATCTTCATTGCTCGTACAGCTATGGCAATGGTTATAAAAATAACAGCACTATCGTGTGTGGTGTTTAATTTCTTCATTTAGAATTGTTGAAAAATCTCTCCTTGTAAACGCAAAAGTTTTACATTACTAAAGGTAAAGAAAGAAATCTGCTAAAAACAAAGTAAAGTTTTTAACGTTGATGCAAACAGCAGCAAACTTGAATGCTGAAGATGATCAGGTTTGCATTGTCCATTAAGCTACAAAGATTTTAACAAATATTGCTATATTTTTAAAGATTTACCTTTTTGTTTTTGCTAGTAGCCTACTAATGTTTTATTTATGAACTTTTGAGAGCAGGGGAGGACATAAGACACAGGTCCAGTCTCTGACAGGTGTCTCTGCGTTTGATTGTGCCCCCTAGTGCTTAAACAGGCAAAGCTTTGTACTGTTTCTGATATCACACTATTTTGCGTTTTTGTTATGCAATGATCACTGTAAAAAATTGTATTTCTTTAAAAAAAAAGACACAAAAATTACGCTCATAAATTATTTTATTTTTTTACAAGAGGCAAGAAAATCCATATTTGAGGATTTTTGATCAAACTTTAAATATAGTACCCCAAAAAAAAAGAGCAAAAAACTGTGATTTATAGGTACAATGTGACAATAAAAGAGAAGAAAATGAAATGTTTCATTTTTATTTCAGAAAAATTACACCCTACCATTGAAAAACAAAAAAAATCAAAAGATGTGGAAGATATGACAGGAAATGATCACTCGATTTACAGACGTCTGTCTTGTTCAAATGTTCAAAATAGCTTAATGTAAACCTTTATTTTCCTTTTTTGTCACGAAATTCAAGGCCATTTGACCCCTTTAAACACTAATATTGTTTTTATCCATCATCCTGTGTGTTTGTTTGTTGTCCACCTATTTTTGTTGTATTTTGTCTTGTTTTCCATCCATTTGTTCATCCCTCAATGTGTCTCTGTCTTTCTTTCCTTTTGTCCAGCCGTCCATCTGTCTCTTTACCTGTCCCTTTTTTTGTCCATCCACCCATTTATTTTACCACCTTTGTCCATTCATCTATTTGTCCATTTATCCAATATCTGTCAGGAACGTAATAACCCTGCAAGCTGAATTTAACTGGTGCCCATTTATGATGGCACACAATTTATTAAAATTAGATATGAATCAAAAAGAGTAACCTGATAATTACTATAATAATGAGAGCCTACTGAAGTTTTGTTGAGACAACTGGTTTAAAATGCCAAATATGGGACACAAACAAAGAAAAAAAAAAGCCTATTTAAGATAAAAATAATTATCCTTAGATTACTCTCCTGAAAGTGTACAATTCCAAAATACGCAGCAGAAAAAAAAAGCAAAACAGATCTCAAAATTAATACAGGTAACATCCTTAAACCTATGAGACTGTTTAAAGCATTTGTATAAGATTCTTGGTAGAAAATGATATTTAGACATGAAATGTAGCCTGTAGTAATAAAGTGCAGCTGTGCCAAAACAGACTATAACTGGGCTGGTGGGCTGTTTTTTATTCTTATGTGATCTTATATTGTCCTCTGTTCTTAAACATCTTAATATGGCTAAAGCTTAAAGTTTACTCTCATAAAAAAAAAAAAAATTGTATAAAGTAAATTGTAACGGTGAAATATGAAATTGGTCCAAGGAATGAAACAGCGTCATAAAAAACTAAGTATTAAACTGGAAAAACTAAAAAAAGGTAAACATTTCTTTAAATGCTTCATCTTAGCAGGTAAAGAAGATGATTTAGCATTTTCTCCCTTAAAGTGAGATTTTTAGACATTACAGACTTGATACTTGATATGTACCCCTGAATATGAGAGCTGTCTAAAGTTTGTATTATTATAAATCATCTCTGAAAGCTCCTTTATATTCCTTAGCATTTAAATAACTATAAACCTCCAGTCATGTCTTTTCTTGTTTCTTTGTTTTATTGTTATATTTTATTCAAATGTGCTTTATTAATTTATGGTTTTATGAAAACTATATCATGTTGGTGCAGTTACAAGCTGTTTTTAAAGTGCTTTATAGATAAAATTGGCACGTAAATAACATCATGGAATGGAATTATTTTAGATGTAAATTTTATTCCATTGGCAAATTGTCGTATCTATCTGTTTAAATCAAGGGAAATACACTTATTTTATTTTTATTAAAACATTAGTTACTTATATCCAAAGGTTTACAGTGTGTATTTCGAGAACATGGGCCATAATAGGCATGGGCGTGGGTGTGCATAGGATGACCTACTTGTCCCTACCAACAATTAGATGTGAATGACATGTTTATAATTTACACTTCAGCGTTGTTGCAGCTGTAGAGGAGTTCTGGATGGAGAATATTGACAGACGAAATTTTTAAAAAATCTAAAATGCAAAATCTTTATACATTTTATTTTTATTTTTTTTACAATTTTGGTATAATTCCTGCTGTAAGCGGATCGCACTGTGAGCTAAAGACATGTTTTAGATAACTAAATTTGTTGAATTTATTTCAATAATCGATTAATCCGATTAATTGTTTCAGCCTTAAACAAAATACATGAAATGGGTTAAACAGAGTAACAACAGCCTAGATGTACAACTTGTAGAGTGAATGTTCTAAATGCTCAGTGTCAGTTCCTCTTCTAGTTCCAGTGCTCATGTAAATAAAATAAATTCATTTGGCGTCCCTTGAATCTTTTATTTTGCTTTGTTTAATGATACAAAGAGAACACTTAAAAGATAAGAGTGGGTTTTACCTCTGTTTACATCTGCATATTTATATATCTTCAAAAGAAAAAAACAGGATAAATCCACATATAACAGACATATTTAGACTATATTTGGTTAAACAGGCACAGATTTACCTACTGTCTTAGTTGCTCGTAATTTCAAATGCAAACCTTTTCAAAGTGGAAAATAACCATAATTCCTCATTCATCAGAGCCGATGATGCTTCAAACATTGATAAACAGCATCTAGTGTGTGTAGTGCTTATAAAATCTGTATTAATGTAGCAAAAAATTATGCTTTTCTCTTTCCATGAAATACACCCTGATTTTCACGTCAAGCATAAAAAAATGAGCATGCATATTTTTGCATAGGACCAATGCCGTCAGACGAATAGTGTCCCTACCAAAGATGAAATCAAACCTACGCCCTTGATTATAGGGGTCAGGAGCAATTTAAGAGGGGGCACTGGCCCCTGTCGGCCCCTTTCTAGAGCCGCCTATGTTCCCAGTAAGTTAAGGGGCAGTGTTTTTGCAGCCAATGACACAGAAAGAAGGAGAACCACCGCAAACTGAGGACCCAATTGTTTCTAGGCTACGTCCAGGGGGCGTGTACAGCTCATAGATATTCATTTTCTAGATATAAACGGAGTCACGACTGAGATGTTTAATCTGAGACGCACATAGATAAACATAGAATCGGATTTAAATAGTCAGAATTTAAGCTGATTCTTTTCTCCATCTCCTGTGAGTGTTCAGACGGATCCTCCTGGGGCTGCACTGCTGATCTATGTGTTGTGTATCTAGGAGCGCTCCGTCCATCGTAGGCGGGGGCAGCAGCGGTCCGGTCTGCAGCCAGCTGTGAGCTCTCACCATCCCACCAATACATGCGTGTCCCTCAGAGCGGATCTGCTGCTGCTGCTGTACAGACAGGGACGCCGATCTGACCGCTGATTCGCTGACAAACAGCAGGTAAGTTAGTGCGGCGCGCGCGGAGCTTGGAACGGAGCGCGTGCTGAATGACCAGCTCATGTTGCTGTTTATTCAGAGTCAGATCAAACCCACTATAGTTAAAATAACCTCTGATAGGCCGGAGTTTAATTGTTTACTGGGTCGGTATCCCATAGTAACGGTTTTATTTTAATTATGGTCGCTTAATTGACACGGTGACAGTTTCCCTTTGGGGTTTAAAATAAATTTAAAACATACAAACTGTATATTTTATACTCATGTATACGAATAGAATAGTTTACCCTTGGGAAGAATTTTTATCCACCTATTCTGCCTGCCTGGTTAAAGCTGTGGCGCAGCTTTATTAGCTGCTGCAGATATTAATGCGTCCTGCAACTTTTATTAGGCGGATGACGTCATTATTATAATTGACCAGGCAGTGAAGTTCTCAGCAGGAGGAGAGGAGTTGGAGGCGGGTGCCATTCACGATGCCATTGCCTCCCTTATGATCTAATGCTTTAGGTCGGAGCCTACGCAGTATGCGCATTACTGCTGGGCAAGCCGGTCCAATAACAGCCCCAAAAATAACCCCTCCCCAAAAACAAATCTAGAATAATCTAGAATCAAGAAGAAAAAAAGAAGAAAAGCTGCATTCCTCTGTATTTCGTTGCATTGCATCAGGAGTGAGTGCAGAGGTGTATCCAGAACATTTTAATCAGGGTGGCCAGCAATGTACATTGAGGGGGGGCCGAAAGCGGATAGGTGCCAGAACCTCAGGGTCAATCCTACACTGTTCCTAAAGGGAAATAAACAATCACAACATCCATATTTTCTAAATGAAGTCAAACGATACTTTCCTACAGCCTTTGCTAACAAATAGATGCATATATTTAAACATCCATGCTGTCTAAATTAAAGGTGTAATAGACAAAATTCTTTCAGTTTTGAGTTCTTGAGTTCCTGTGTGTATTACTTGTAATTAAACAACCATAGAAAATAAAATATTCAAAATTTGATGGAGATTGAAAATTAGTGATATAGTAGGCATGGCCCCACAGCATCATAGATCTTTGGCCGTGCTTCTCAAAGTTTATTTCTTCCGACCCCACTCTGTTGGTCTGTTAATAAAGAAAGGTTTGTTTTTTCTTTTAAATCAGTTTTCAGATCTAGTAAAGTTTATCAAACTGTATAATGTTAAGACAAATATATATATATATATTTTTTGAAATACCTAAAGACATCAGTTGGCATCTATGATTGATAGGAAGCCTTGGTTTTGTCCTCACTCAGATCTTTTTAACCTCTGTTAACCATTTTCTTCTTCACACCAGTGAGATAAACCTGTTTGTCACCGCTCTAGTTTAAATTAAGCTTTATGATTATTAGCTGTCTTTTATTTTTGTTCAAACTGTTTAAAATCCAGATAGCTGTAGATCTTGGATATGAGCAAATATAGAAGGGGGGATGTTTGCTGTTACCTATCGGCCTCATTTTAATGCCATTTTATCTGGCTTAGAGGAAAAGACCCATATGTCACATAATCTCTATCTCCAACGAGACTAAGGAAGTCATTGATTTTAAAATAAACAATCACAGAAACCCATCATTTCAGTTGGATTATTTAATATAGAAATAATCAAATTTTCATAAAGTTTACAGGAACTGTTATAAATGTCAATAATTGTTGCTACACCTATCATTGACCTTACTGATGAATGAATCTATCGATTATCTTTTCAATTAATTGAATCATCTAAAACGAGTTACGTTCAGTAAATTTAATTCTAAACACAAACATTTGTGATATATAGAAAAAGAATTACACATTTTAAATAAATTGCAAATGGAAAAACATGTAAACATATACATCCATTTCTATATACAATGAAACAGTACAATTTTAATATGGAAACTGGCATATATTATATTTTTTAATTATCTATAACATATTTGCTGCGTTCTGTCTTAATTACATTATTATTACACAAATTGCATCCTTACAGTCTGTTTACCATAACTTTAGGTAACGATTCAGATTGATTAACAAATTAAATGAGAAATGATTCAATAATCAATTAATTAGATTAATTGTTTCAGCCCTTGTAATCTGTAATCCACCATACGGTATCCATAAAAATAAAGTGTTATAATTCTTAATAGATGTAATATAGAGTTAATGTTAGCTGTATCAATGATAATAACTCCCAGCCATCCCTTGCTGCCTCCTTCAGGTGTCTACATCCCACTGGTAAATTCCAGGGAAGATGTCTCATCGCAGTGGGCAAGAGGATCCGGAGCGGTACCTGTTCGTGGACCGGGCCGTTGTGTACAACCCAGCCACGCAGGCAGACTGGACGGCCAAGAAGCTGGTGTGGGTCCCCTCTGAGCGCCACGGCTTTGAGGGGGCAAGTATCCGGGAGGAGCGTGGTGAGGAGGTGCTGGTGGAGCTGGCGGAGAATGGAAAGAAGGTGGTGATCAACAAGGATGACATCCAGAAGATGAACCCACCCAAGTTCAGCAAGGTGGAGGACATGGCTGAGCTCACCTGCCTGAATGAGGCGTCAGTGCTGCACAACCTGAAGGATCGCTACTACTCCGGACTCATTTATGTGAGTATTAAAGGAATAGTACACCCAAAACATGATTAGCCTTCATTTTCTACTCACCCCCATGCTGAACAACACTCTGGAGTACTTTTTTGATATCTCAAATGCATCTGGAGATCTGGGAGGCTTCTTGCTGTCTGCTGACATTCAAATAATGGAGGTCTATGGTGACCGAGACAGAAAGGTCCATAAAAGTCCACAAAAAACGTGTCAATATTCCTCCATACTGCTCGTCCAATGTATTCCAAGTGTCCTGAGTGGGTAGCATCCAGAATTTACTCGAAACAAAGTCATTTAGAATGTTTTTAGAGCATAAACAGTAGTGTATAGGATTTCCTGAAAGCGCGCACATGCGCGATCACGACGCTACGGAAGCCGGCAGACCAAACCAGCGCATTCAGCTCGGCAAAGAACTCATGCTCTTCCTCAACACTGAAGTCCTCAGACATTTTTCTTTCGTTGTTTCTTTCTTTGCACAGGTAAACAGCACATTTCTTCTTCTACGCTTGCATTACCGGCAGAGCAGACGCTGAATGCGCACTCTCATCTGGTTTGGTCTGCCGGCTTCCGTAGCGTCGTGATCGCGCATGTGTGCGCTTTCAGGAAATCCTTTACACTACTGTTTATGCTCTAAAAACATTCTAAATGACTTCGTTTCGAGTAAATTCTGGATGCTACCCACTCAGGACACTTGGAATACATTGGACGACCAGTATGGAGGAATATTGACATGTTTTTTGTGGACTTTTATGGACCTTTCTGCCTCGGGCACCATGGACCTCCATTATTTGAATGTCAGCAGACAGCAAGAAGCCTCCCAGATCTCCAGATGCATTTGAGATATCAAAAAAGTACTCCAGAGTGTTGTTCAGCATGGGGGTGAGTAGAAAATGAAGGCTAATCATTTTTTGGGTGTACTATACCTTTAAGCCTGAAGGCTTTTTAAAAAAGGACATACATTCCTCCCAGAACAGATGACAGGTTTCTCTAATGCTGTATTTACCACGGTGTAAACGTCACTTCTGATCTTCTGTGAATCAATTGTCATCTTCCATTTGGTTGGTGTGTGGCTGTAGCTTCACCTCTGCCATGAACACAGACTCATTTCGTCTTCTTCTAACTTTCACTGGTTTGTTTGGTCACAAATCGCTGCTTGATCCCTGCTTCCTCTGACATTTCTGCTACAAAAACTCTGAATTACTTCGTCACAAGCCAAAATTAGGAATTTGTTCTGCCTTTTATCATTATCCTTTATCACTAGTTGTTCTTACCCTCACTGTATGTGGCTGTGTCTTTTTAGATTCATAAAACACAGATAAATCCGTAAAAAATTATTTAATATAGGAGTGGGTGATATAACATAAATATTTATCTCTGTTTTTTCCTACTGAATCAGATTTAGTTTTTGTCTCCCTTAAGTTTTATAATGAAAAATTACAAAATGTGTGCATTACTTCATTTCAATCATGCTCTGGAAGGGGATCTTGATTTAAAAGGCAATGGAATTGAATTGAAGATGCTTTTAAACACAACAACAAACAATGAAATGCTTTGAGTTTAAGTGAGGCGCATGGATTGCTGCTTCCTCCGTTTTTATCTATAGTTAGTGTTTTCTTTGAGTTGTCAATGCTTGTTTTTATTTTTGTGTAACTCTTTGTTATTGTTTTGTGATTTTTATCATGTTAATGGAAGAAGAGGGAGCAATATTGGCCTAAAGAATCGGCCTAAAAAATCAGCAGCCAATATCAGGGATCGGTTAAACTTACAAAATTATTGGTGTCGGTTTTGGCCTCAAAGTTGAAGGGAAGCGGCTGTTTCAACTGTTGCATTTCCGAATTCTCCTGAGTGATGCCCCACTTTACATGAGTGAATAAAGTAAATGTGATTGGTCGATTATCAAAGGGCCCTTGCCTCGCAACGCTGCCAGTTCTGTTAACTCTACGCCTGCAGAAGACACAGACGTCCATCCCTGTGAACACTGGGACAGAACTCAATGGGAAAGGAAATGATTCTGATTTCTTATTTCAACCGTTGCGTATATTAGCTGCGACATATGAATAAAGATGTTATGACTGAAAAAATTTGATTGACAGATGACCGTCGGCATACTGAATTTAGGTGTTTTGAGGCTGATGTATATCTAACTGGCCTGTATAAGATAACGAAAAAACCCCACAGATTTTAAGACAGGATTTTGTTTTAAATAGAAATTTTCAAAATTTTTGGACAATATTTTCTGATAAAGACTACATTTATATACATGTTTAAGCCAGAATGATTTTACAATTTAATATGATTTCCATAGACTTAAAAAAACCCAACTCTATTGGTAGATCTCAGTTTATAAGAACACATCTAAGAACCAAAGTGATGACCTGCTGTTACTCTAAGATATGAAATCAGAATGTAAATATCATATTTAAAACTGCTTCAGTAAAATAGGATGATAGTGGGCGGGGTTTACGCGGCCTAAGCGGACACGCCCCCAGCGTCTCAGTGCAGAGAAAACTGACATTTTAAAAAGAAATTAGTTTTGATCCCTAGTTTTATAGCATTATTTACATTTTTAATCATTAAAAGTTAGATGGATGAAACTTATTTATCAGATGTGACTTTAAAGAGGGGGGAGATGACATGTTTTAGAAAATATATAAAAAATAAAAACCCTTCAAGTATTTTCATGCATTTAGATTAGACTGGGAAGCCTACATAAAATCCAGAGCAACCAGTTACCTTTTAGAAATCTCTCTTCCCTTTATGAAGTAGTAGTTAGTCTATGCCTGTTGGCCTTTGTCCATAAGTCAAGTAGGGGACAAAGCTAACATGTGAAAGAGGTGGACTTTGTCAGAAAAGACCAAAGCAGAGCACTTTAACCTACAACCACAACACTGAACAAGTTTTTTAACTCTAAACCTCCTTTAAATCTTTTTACTGGGACAGAATCTGTTTTAGAGAACTGAACCCACCTTTACCACTAATGTAAAGAAAGACTATATTTATATTTCAGTTATTGAAGTCTACCTTCTGGACCAATGAGGTGTTAGGAAGAGTAAATAGTGTCAGATAAAGTTTTTTTTTTTGCTAATCGGTTGCTGGGCAGATTTTGCTCCTGACAAATTGATTAGACTGACTTTCTTCTTCTGGCTTTTTTTTCAATCCTCAACCAACAATACTTTGCCAATTCAGAACAGTATTTGGTCAGGTCTAAAAATCTCTATGTTAAAGCAAACTAGGCTAAGTTAATGTGTGAACTTTCTCGCTTTTACCGAATCCTGTACCAGCAGCGTGAAAGTGACCCCTGTGACACAGGAAACTAACCTAGTAAATCATCCTGAACACAGCGCCCTCATGGTCAGATAGGTTTGGTAGCGCATCTTGTTCTGGGATGTTTTTGTTAATTATTGTTGGAAAACGGGTCAGATACATCCAGGTCAACGCATGCCGCATCAAACTATTTTAAAATCTCTTATAAAACAGAAAGACTGATGTTTTAAACCCTTTCTATCCAATCTGACTTCACTGAAGCTGTTTTATACAGAAGAATGAGCTAAAAAGCCATTTTTTATCTGGTAAAAACATTTTTCTACCAATAAAAGACTCCTTATATCAATAAAAGGCTATCAGTGCAGTCTGTTAAAGAGGCTAAATAAAAATGTGTTTCATATCTTCCAGTTCTTCTTCACAGTTATGAGCTACTTGGTTTCTTTCCAATTAATTTAAATCCAAATAAAACACCGTTAGGCTTTTATTTGTTGCACACAACAGTTGAAGATATGTAATTCCCAAATCTGTAATGTATGAATTCGTAAAAAAAAAAAAAAAAAAAAAATGACTGAATGGGAGCTGCTCTGTGATCTGCAGCTTGTGGTTTCGACCTATTTACTGGTAGTTTTCAGGAATAGAATGTGGGCTATCGCCTCAGAGACTCTGATCTGGGCCCAGAAAGGCAAACTGTTGCACTTATCAGCTGTCCTTCTGCAAGACAAAACATCCCCACCATTCCCCCGAAGACATCAGCCACTATTTGGATGTTTGTCATGGCAATTTGCAAATAACATAGGCAAGAGAATAGAAAAATGTCAGGAATATACAGTGGTTTGTAGATTTTCTCATATGGTTTAAGTTTGATCTGCTTCCAGCAGCTTACAGAGCTCCTCTTTAGTTCCCCTGTAATCCACAGTGTCATGGTTTCTGAGTTTTCCTGGTTTAAATTGGTTTTGGAGCTTGTTAATTGTCCCCTTGCCTAAAAGAAATTGAAAACATGTGTGTGGCTGCGTTGGTTTTCTGTCAGGAAGAGAATTTTCCCCTCAGCTCAGTCTCAGAGACCAACCCCCATGCATTTCTAACCTCTTCCAGAGCATTTAACCCCCCCCCCCCAACACCTCTGTAGACATAACATAATGATCCCTGCAGGCTGCCCAGTTACTTTGGGTTACAGGAGAAACTTAATTATCTGAATTATGCTCTGATAACTAAGTAGATGTTTTTTTCTTTTTACTAAAGTTTATTCTGTTTTCTACTGATCACTTTAGAGAAAAGCCCAACTGTGATCTGTAGTGACATCATTACTAAAGCCTTGGTCAGAGAGGGAAGCAGCTCTTAAGCCCTGCAGTCTCTAGGAACCTATTAACAAAATTCTAAAATTCTTATTAACGAAATTCAAAAATTCTTCTAAATTAACAAAATAATTTTGAGGATTTTTTGTAAACAAACAGGAGCAATTAATTTTACCCCTCCTAAAATAATAAGTTTGTTATTACATTCATGGTTAAAGGGATAGTTCAGGTTTTTAGACATGTATCTGAGATGAAAATTGTCCCTATACCGTCACCGAGCCTCCTGCTATGAGAAAAGACTGGTAACGTACCGGAGAAAAAGTAGTTCCAGTACGGTAAACAAAGGTTTTTAAGCTAGACAAAAATGCCCATGTGGTTAGTTAGACTATTTTAAAAACTGTAAAACTTCATGGTGCTTCTTTTAGGCTAAGATATTGATTAGGGCTA